TAACATATCTTATCTATGAAGATGGCTTTTGTCCAAATATTGTATTAGCTTGATGAAAATATTTTGTTCAAATTTTATATTTATTTCCTCCTAATGAACTTTTTGGCCATCAACATGGACAAAGTATACTAATTAATAAAATGTTGAGAAGTAAAACACAATACAAAAATTGGGGACATAACTACAAAATGAGCAAAAGTTTGGGACCTTCATTTCAATTAAAATATGGTACAGTGTTCTAAAGAGTGTAAACCATGGTTGGAAATCAAAGTGAAGCTTTGTACCTAAATGCCCAAATCATGAAATCATTTCAATCCTTCACCTGTAGGTCGGTCCATAGTGAAAGATGCCCAAATCAATAATTTGTTTGGAACTCTTATTTCGTTGGAATCGAGTCACGGGAAAATAAAAAAGAGGACATGGATCGAAGTATTACATTTCTAAAGTGTACAGTCCTTAAAACTATGTGAGTACACACCAAAATACATGAAATCTTAGTCGCGCGATATTGTGCGATAGTGTCCCTATCTTCATGGTTGATGATATCTAGATTGCCCAATAATATGCACATTTCTGGGAAGGAAAAAAAAAAACTTTACCTATATTATTTCAAACATTTTTCGCCAATATTCATCAACTTCCCCCTAGAAACAATACTTTTGTGTGACTTGTCAATTCAACCTATCACCAATATGCTTTTTCATTTTGGTAGTCAGAGTCATTTACTCACGCACTAACTTCCAATTAAAAAGGGTCCCAATGTCTCAATAAGGACAATTTGATTCCAACTCAATTGTTTAATTTGTATTTCTCTCCACCCAATAAATTACACTCACACAACATAATTTTAAATTAATGATTTTAAGTTGAGTTGTTTGTGTGTGAATGATTTTTTTTTCTCTGTTTAAGAAGGGAACACAAACAAATTGGATGACTCAATTGCATCTATTATTAGAGAAGGGCTCAATTGTCTGGCAAAGGACAATTTGATACCTACTCATTTACGTTTCTATCTCTTCCGACTAAACCATACACCGTATAATTCAAATCCTAATTCCAATTCCAAAGCAAGAAAAATGGACGAAATGCCTATGGTTCCTGCCACTTTCCAACTTGTAGTGGAGAA